CCCAAGTCAGGGCAAAAACTACAAGTACAATGCACAGCAAAATGAGGATCGAAGAGCCAAATATCCTGCATAACATCCACCAGCCGTGATGAACAACTACCAGGACTGATACTTGTACTGGTACATTGCTGTGTTATGCTCAACAAATTATGTGCTTACGTGGTCCTGTAGACAACGTACATGAAATAAACATACATGTAAAATGTTGTATTTTGTGAGCTTAATAACTTAGAATGACTTGCATTTGTGCCAAGTCCAAATCCATGATGATAATGGGGTACAAAGTTATCAAAAACGCCATGGAGTACCTATTGGTCTGGACAGTATATAGGGCCTTGGTCTGGACTAAAAGCTGCATGTGTACCTATCGTAATAAGGATCGATCATAGGGATATCAAGGAAGCAGACACCTTGATTAACACATTAATTTTATCAAGCTAGACAAGTATCTGCCAGCTGCGAATGAGGTTAATAATTTAGCTGTAACCTTCATCATTGTCATGCAATTAAAATGAAACATGGGATATTACAAGTAAAACTCACAAGCCGGCCACAAAATGAATGAATATACGTCGCAAGGTATACGCTTACACATGCCGCTACCTGATGATGATGGTTTAGAGGATTTGCCTTTGCAACGGCTCCTCCTATTCTTTTAAACTGTACTTAAGCTATCGCGCTATGAGTTGGTATGGGGTGCATGATAGTATTGAGCTCTTTTTCTTTTTGCCTTCTATATCTTAACTTCCACATGCTGTATAGAATTTGTTTCTTATCTTCCATATGTTTCCTATTATCATCAAATAGAAATTTCATAATGACTTCTTCTTTATCTTCCCAGTATGGCTGTTGCAGTTCGGGACATTTCTCTCTAATCTCACTCAATATTGGACATTCCAACAAGAAGTGTTTTAGATCCTCATTTTGTTCATCACACAGAACACAGTTTGTTTTCTCTTTTGTAAACCTCTTCCTAGAGTTCAGAGGGAGAGTGTTCGTTCTTGCTTGAAAGAGGATTCTTGATTGTGGGGTGTTGTCATATACATCATCTTCTTTTACCTTCAGTTTCCATCTCTTGTATATCCTCAGACTTGTTTTGGTCTCTACTTCCTCTTTCCATCTTTTATCGTCCCACCTGATCATATTTTGGTTAAGTTCTTCTTTCTTCAAGTCTCTCATGTCTTTTTGGCTTAGGTTTAGCGTTTCTAGGTGCGCGTTGATCATTTTTGCCCATTTCGTACTCTTCTCTTCTAATTGAGTTTCTATTACTTCCTTCAATAGTTGGTTATTTCCTTGAAGAGTGCTTCTAACATACTGTAGATGCCCTTTCATAACTCTTGTTTTCATCGTCGAAGCTCCAATTTCGCCCCGGAGGGCACAGTTGGCGGTATATCTCGGTGCACCGAGTATCTGTCGATATACTCCGTTTTCTATCATTTCCAGTTTCTTTACCTCTTCTTCCGTTATGTAGAATATGTTGGCACCATACAAAATGGATGGTAGAGCAAGGCTCTTCCAGAATGTTTTTCCTATCATGAGCTTGTTGCAACTTCTCGCGATCACCCCATAAGTCATGTTTGCCATCCTTTGAGCTTTTTCTATCATCTGCTGTTTCTGCTCCTTGAACATGTTTCGCTGATTTCCAATCCTTATACCCAGATACTTCAACTTGTCTGTTGTCGGTATTCCTTCTACTTCAGCTGGTTGTTCCTTGCAATTGAATACCAATACAGCACTTTTATCCTTGTTAATATCCAGACCACACTTCTTACTCACTTCGGTTAGAACTTTGATCAGCAGTTGTGTTTCATGAAGTGAATGTGCTAATATTAGTCCATCGTCTGCAAAGAACAGTATTGGAATGTAGAATTTCCTGTTTCTGAACCCAAGCGTTGTCTCCTGTATTTCTTTGGTGATTATATACGTAACAATCTTGAACAATGCTGTAGAACCGGTACATCCTTGTCGAATTCCACTTGTCACGTCCATTTCCTCTGTTGTGCTCTCATTCAAGTTGATCAGTGTAGAGTCTCCTTGGTATATATCTGCTACGGCATCTATAACTTTTGGATGGATCTTATATGCCATCAAAGCTCTTATCATTTCACTTCTTTTCACGGAATCAAATGCTTTTCTATAATCGATTGATGTAACATACAGTGGGGTCTTCCTTTTATAGCTGTCTTCTACGCAATAGTTCAGGATGTAGAGGTTATCTTCAATCTTCCCCCCTTTCGTGAATCCAGCTTGGGTTTCAATTATAGCATCATTTTCTCTTATGTGTTCTTCAATCTCATTTTTCATTAGGGTCATGAAGATTTTATACCCTACATTTGTGAGCGCTATAGGTCTAAGGTCTTTTGCTGTTGGGCGTGGTACCTTCTTTATCATTCTTGTCTTTGATGTTTTCCATTCACTCATTTTCCTTCTTTCTTCCACTTCTCTTCTTATACAGCTCGTTAATATTTTCAATCCGTCCCTTGTCTTTAGGAGTGCTTTATACATCTCTGCTTTCAGTCCATCAGGACCTGCTGATGTCTTGCCTTTCATGTTTTTAACACATCTTTGAACCTTTTCTTCGCTTATGATTGGCTCAGTCATGGCCTTCAATTCACTTATAGCAGTTTGAGCCAACTCTTCATGATCTTTAAGTGGTCTTCTGGCATTGATAGTTTGCTCATCATGTTGCAAAGTTCTGATGTATTCACTTTTCTTTTCTTCATTCCATACCTGATTTATGTCATTTTCATGTTTTTGGTATACAGTCTTCCAATATCTTACCAGTTCTTCCTTCTCTTCCTTTTTCTCTAGTCTATGTCCATCTGTGCTGAATAGGTTGGTTTCCTCATTCTTTTTGCCATCCTTTCTCCTTAAGTTGTCAATGTTCATCCATAGCGCCTTGCTTCTGTTTGTGCTGCATTTTATTTCATTGGTTATCTTCTTTTCATGTATACTCATCTGCTCTTTGACCAGGCTTTGTACATGTCTTTTCTGCTTTAAATACAATAGTTCCATGGCCTTTACCTCTTCCTGAGTTGAGGCATTTCGTTTTTTCCTGTTTATTTCTTTCCTTTTCTTGATTTCTTTTCTTATTTCTTTTGTCATCCATGGAGGTTCTTTCACTTGCTCTTGTTTGTTCAGAACTCTCCTTATATATCTGGCTTTCAGCTTTTCTTCAGCTGTGTCTTTCATTGTTCTATTTAACACTTCCATCGTAACTTGTTCTTCATCATGTACCCTTTTACATACTTCTTCCGCAAACTCTTTTAGTGTCTCTTCATCAGTCTTATAATATTCAATGACATCTTCCTTCCCTTGGGTGAAGTTTAGATTTTTTCCATCTGGTATCTTCATGCTCACAGTAATCATGTTGTGGTCTGACAGATCGAACTTTTCTCTGTCTTCATCTATGATCATTTCCTCGAACCACTTGTAGCATCTACCATTTACTATAACAAAGTCAATCACACTTTGTTGATCTTTTCTCTGCCATGTGATTTGTCCCTTGCATCTTCCATCCATGTTGAGAAGAATCAATGCATATTCATTCAACCATTCAATAACTGTTTTTCCATTGTCATCTTCTCTTTGTTTCCCTAGGCCGGTGATATGTCCATTGAAATCACCTAAAATCGCTAGTGCTTCATGCTCTTCTTCAACGTTTTCAATTATTTTTTCCACTTCCTTTTTTATCCTTTCATTCCTTTTCTTATCTTCATGTTTGTTAACAACAGAGAAATAAACTATCACTATATGCAAAGTTTCTCTGGCTACCTTCACTTTTGCATACAAAATATCACGGTTTGCAGTTTGTACCTTTGTTACATTGAAAAGATCATTTGCTTTGTACATCAGGAGCAATCCTCCTCCTTTCTTGTCTTCCATCTCTCTCATACTCTCAACTTTATCTACACCTCTAGAAAATTGCACTTTTTCATATTTTTGTTGAGTTTCTGTAAGGCATATGAGATCACAATCTGTTTGGAGGAGCTGTTCTAGTTCTACAGCCTTTGGCTTAGTTAATCCTTGCACATTGACTAGATTTATGACAATTTTTTTCTTGCTTTTTTCTTCTTTCTTTCTTGATATGTTCTCATCTTTCCATTTCTTCTTGCTTAGTCTGTCTGGGTTTACTAGTTCCTTCTCTCCTGGTCTTTCTGTACCTCTCCCTCTTTCTTCTGTAGCTTCCCATTTTTTATGTACCATGTGTGGTCACCCGCAGCTTTTTTGAGCTTCAGTTCCTCCCTCAGTTTCATGTCCTGATCCCTTTCCATTTTTGTCATATCTCGTGATATGCCTACTCGCTTTTTCCATGGGTTTTCTTCACCCTTCAGATTTTTGGCACTTGCCAAAATGTGTTTCTTTTCACCTTCGGATGAGAGTTTCACGAGCAGGGGTCGCTTCCTTTCATTTTCTTTCCTTCCCATTCTGACCAGACTTTCGATCTTGACATCTGTCACTTTCAAGGATCCTTCGAACAGGTCCAAACACCTCACCATGTCATCAGATTGCCTCTCTTTCGGATCTTCTTTTCTTTTACCTACCACAGCACAAATCGCACAAATAAGTGCGCAATGATTGTCTTTTTGTTAGAGATGTTCAAGTTGTGCACAGCTTCTGTGGAGTCGCGATTCAGTTCTCCTAAGGATGGAATTTTAAATGGTTTTTGATCGGGAGACGACTTGGAATCTTTCGACACTTGCATCGTAACTTATGCTCAAATAATGATTGTTTGGGGTTTAAAAAAAGGAGAAAAATACAACCTTTCAAAAAATGACCAACTTTTCTCAAATGAAACGCCGTCACTGTTAATATTGGAAATATTCTGAACTGGAAACTCGATGATAAAACTTGAAGTGCAGACCCTGTACTCCTTTGCCAATTGTATGCTCCACACAGCTCCGTTTCTCATGGCCCGGCTATGACAGATACAAAATTGAGCCTGCTTTCTGATGGTAGGCAGTTTTTGGCCAGATGACCTATGGTTATTGTGAAATTGGTGTTCAAAGGCTGTACTCCGACCTCTGTCTCCGGATCCTGTCGCCGCAGCGTAGTCGCGACTCCGTGGTGTGTGCTGTGCCAACTCTACGGGCCGCTTTATTTCGCCGCGCCGATATTTGTGCCGCGGCGTTTTCCAAATTTTCGAAGCTGGCTGTATATTTTCGTTTGTTTTCCATTAGCCGGGTTCACAACGGCATAAACCTGACCGTGTTGCCTGTTTTCCATGCTATGAGTATAGTTGTAAAAACAACCTAACAGGTTTTGTCTTTTATAATTGTAATCAAGCATACGGGCAGTGGGCATTAGCCGTGCGGTAAGTGAACGTTCCACTTTGGTTTTGGTCTGGTTCCTTTCATGATAGTAAATAGGAGTATGATGATTAATTGATAATTTGACTCATGACTGTTACCTGGAGTGGAGTCAATATCACTATCATTAACCTCCCAATTGTCTTTGCTGATCTAGGTACTATCATTTCTCTGACCCTGAATATTCATTCTTATTTTAAATCATAGGCATGATCCAACAAAGTGAAGTCCTATACATAAGTTGAAGTCTAACAAATTCAGATAATCTTGCTTTCAGTTATAGCTTGCATTACATAATATTGCATGACTAAGTAGTGCTTCCTGGTGCATACGAGAGCACCAATTTTTGGATCGACTCGTCCCTACTTCTAGCTGCTAACCTAATCCTTGCTATGACCACTAACCACTCAATTACACAATCACATAATGCTTGCCACTCTCAACAAAAAAGTTCTAGTCGATCGTCTTGCTGCGTCACTCGATAAACATTGTTTTCCACACTGTATTGTTTATTCACATGCTTACAATTCTACATACATAAGTACAAAGAAAAACACTGCACAAAAAACACTATGCAGACGCAGTTGACCACCCCAACGCTGTACAGTTGTACTCCACTGGCCCAAAATTTTTGTACTCCACTACCAGAACAAAAAAGTGAAATTCCAACCCTGCCTGACAGTGACCGCTTGTAGGGGTTCAGTTTATGTTTTTATCAATTTTATTACTTTTTCAATGCCCTTATAATTTCAGTGTGACTGTGACCCATAGTTAGGCTATTTATAGTAAGCATTGAAAGCCTGTATTTAGAACCTTGGTATCTGCTGCATCATTTTCTCTTGCAGTTCGTGACTTTGATTCTGTGAAGTGTGTTGTTATGTAACAGTAAGTGCATGTTGTTGATGCCAAAACAAGTTCATCAATTGATTGAAGAAAAAGTGTAAACTGTTTTTGCAATTTACTCATAGGAGTGCATTTAAGTGATCATTTTGGTTCAACCTGCAATTACATGTTCCATTTAACCATTTGCACTATTTTTCTAAGAACTGAATGATCTAATATTATTTAATATTTGTATCACTGTCACAAACTGGTTGCTTGTTTAACAACATCATAATTTTTTCCCAGTTTTACATCATGTCTTCTAGTGACTCATCTACTCCATCACTTCTTCATTCATTCATTGTAAGTTGTCTCAGCAGTTAGATTGATACAATCTTGATAATAGGGCAAAAATGCACCTCTTCATCCTCTCTCTCTCTCTCTCTCTCTCTCTCTCTCTCTCTCTCTCTCTCTCTCTCTCTCTCTCTCTCTCTCTCTCTCTCTCTCTCTCTCTCTCTCTCTCTCTCTCTCTCTCTCCCTCCCTCTCTCTCTCTCTCTCTCTCTCTCTCTCTCTCTCTCTCTCTCTCTCTCTCTCTCTCTCTCTCTCTCTCTCTCTCTCTCTCTGCCTCCCTTCCATATTTCCTACCCTCTCTCTGTTTCTCATCAGAGGATGACTTTGTTGTGTTTGTGTGCAGGGTAGGGTGCACTGTTTGACCCCCAGGCCCGGTGTGTGCTATGGTTGACAGGCGGGCGGCGCGGCTGGCCTGACTGTGGATGTGTCGCTGTTCCCGCTGGACACACTGAAGACCCGGCTGCAGTCAGCAGAGGGTCTGATGCGCTCTGGTGGTCTGCGAGGCCTCTACTCAGGAGTGGGCGCTGCTGCCACCGGATCTGTACCGACCGGTGAGCACTGAGCAGCCAGCTTGGTTCTCCTTAGCCCCAGTGATCATATCGCAGTCCATAACAGGTTATGTTAGTAATCCGTGCATGGGTCAGACCGAAACTATAAAGACGTTCGAAAGACACTCCGCTGTAAGGCTTGAGTAAAACAGGAAGCGATTTCTGGTCGTTTACAGTAATCACCGACGACAAGCTGTGTCCTGTGACGATTATCACCGACTAATGTCTGCATGATACTGGTCTGTCTTTCCTCCGCAGCGGCGCTGTTCTTCATCACCTATGACGGGCTGGCGCGGCGTGCCTCGGAGCGGCTGTCACCGAGCTGGCTGCCGGCAGCACAGGGAGCCGCCGCCGCTGCCGGCGAAACGGTAACGTCCTCGCGCGCACAATCAACTCACACTACGTGCGCTCGTACAGTCGGGCTGGGGCCTGCGGTTAGAGTAGTGGGTTACATCGGTGGGTTTTCACTCGGTAATCGCTACCGGTTGTGCCGCTTAGCCGATCTGCTCCAGCTTAGCGCGCAATGAGTAGTAAAACGGCTAATTATGCTGTAGAAGACAAGGAACCTGGGAACTCAGTTATGCTGAGCTACCCAGTGTTGTATTTTTAGGTAGTCAATGCTCGATCCCTGACCTACCATGTACTAATACTAGCTGACCTCGGCTCTCCTATACCGTACCGCTCAGGTAGCCGCCGTTGTGCGCGTGCCCGTTGAGGTGGTGAAACAGCGGCGTCAGGCGCGTCCCGACATCTCCGCACGCCACATCATCTCCACCACGCTGGCCGAGGAAGGCTTCGCAGGGATGTACCGCGGCTTCCTCACCACCGTGCTGCGGGAGGTGCCCTTCGCAATATTGCAGGTAGGTATGGGTGTTTATTTGTGTAGTTTTGTTATTGGCCGGGCACCGGCCTCTACCAGTAAGTTCGTTATGATGACATCATTTCTATGGATGCGATGCAAATCGTTTCGAACGATGTGGAGGCTGCATTCCGTTCTTGTTCATTATGTCGCAGGACTCAAGGAGGTTGGGGGAGGTCTTGAAAAACATCCCTGAAGGCTGATCGATTGCTGTTCCTTTGAGTATGCCGACGGGTACAGTCTGGTACAGTAATGTGCTGTCAGTATCTGGCTGCCGCTGGCTGTTCGGTGTTATCGTCTGACTGATCTGTCCGTCGGACCTCCGGCAGCTGCCGCTGTGGGAGGCGCTGAAGGCGGCGTGGGGAAGGCAGCGCGGCCGGCCCGTGGAGCCCTGGCAGTCGGGACTCTGCGGCGGCGTGGCAGGTAGGACGACAGGTTACCCAGGGTCGCCAGGGAAGGTAATAGACCGGCGTTCGTCCCAGATGCAGCTGAATCGAGCAAAAACTATCACACGGAACGCACTGGGCAAACTTGCAGCTGAGTTCGACCAATGTGGAAATGGTTAGCGAATTCAGAGACACTTCCTCTCCTGTAATGGTCAATGCTCGATTTTTACCTTGGTTTGTGAACAATCGCCTTGGTTTTCATTGTTTTGTTGAACCTTTTTCCCTCACCTGTTAGAGGGTTCGAGTTCCAGAAGAGAGCCATGGCCTCAAACTACTTTGTGACGAATGGGTGTAAATGTAGAAAAATGAAATCGATCAGTTGAGTATACTGATTTGTGCTGCAAGTTTGCCACACACATATCAGCTTTAACTGGACTGGATCTGGACTCATGAATCGCTGTTGTGTTGTCGTCTGCGACTGAGCGTGTGCCGTGGTGCGTCAGGCGGCATATCGGCGGCCATCACCACTCCACTGGACGTGGCCAAGACGCGCATCATGCTGGCCGACCGGCACAGCCAGCTGGCGTCCGGGGGCCTGGTGGCCGCCCTGCGCATCATCCGACGCGAGAACGGCTTCGCTGGGTGAGTGAAACCAAGTCCCTGTGATTCAGAGCTATAATTGTAGGCCGGCAGGCTGTCTTAGCACCCACCGTTCACAGGTCGAAGCAAAAAAAGCCCCAAACACTCGCTGTCATCGAGTTTCAAGGGCGCCCGGAATTGGTACCGGTTGTCGACCTTGAACACGCGTGCGTTGTTCACTAAACCAACCCATTAGTCCAGTAAGTTGTAACTTAGAATCGGAACTTATTCCCACAATGCCCTCCACAATATTTACCAAATCAATGTCTCGTTCAACTATCCCCGCCATTGCTAACCGTTTTGTCTGGTTTGTCGACAGGCTGTTTGCTGGTGTGGTGCCTCGCGTCTTGTGGATCTCTACAGGTGGATCAGTGTTTTTCGGTTCGTACTCGCTTGTGATGCGCCTAATCAGCTGACCACTCGCAGCCTCGTTTTAGGCTAGTCGTGTTGGTCAGTCCACCGGTCGTTTTACCAGTGCAATGCAGCTGAGTCATTTGTGGACTTGTGTAGCTGCTCAGTGATCCAACAGATACTATGTTGGGTTTAGTGCTTTGTGATCATAGCCGTATCTGCGTGTTTTTGTCGCAGCGATATTATGTTCATTTGCCTGTCATCACAATGGTCAGCAGTGCGATACGCTTACGATGTTCTACAGTGTTGTGTCAGTCACGTGCAAAGCAGCGACCATAAGCAAATCAAATAAGAACTTTTTGCCCCTGGCATTTGATGCTACTATACGAGCCCACACTACACGCACACGACTGGGTCCGGCTGCCACTTTGTATTAGTTTAGCTGACGGCGGCGAGCTCGGCCTCCGACGGCAGCTGCGCGACACTGTCGTACAAAAAAACACGCCGATCGGCGCCGTCCAGCCGGCGAGTGGTGCGTGCGCCGCCCGCACCCGCACACGGCCACAAACATATCCAAAACTGCCCCGGGAGTCAACAGAGTTTTTGCTCACGTTGAAAGCAACGTCTCGGTAAATTGTAACAACGGTAGACGACAGGCGGGCAGCCGGTCAGGCCACATCATACAAGCCTGTCCTGCCCCGCCAAGGCACGCTTTAACACAAGGACCATTCGAGCCCCAAAAATAGGGTCGCCATCCATCCGTAATAAAAATCTAAACATTACAAACATTATGACATCGCCTCCTATTTCGAAGACTCGAATGCTCAGCCTTAGAAGCGTTCTTATGAAGACGGGTTTGCCCTCTGTCTGGCGCGCGCGCTCTGTCGACGTCGACCGCTGAGCGTGGCCGTTTCGCCAGCTCCGAGCAGCGTCCGCGCGTGGCTGGGTGTGGCCGGGCCGACCAGGGCGCCGCGCCGGCCGGCCGCAGTCGCGTCACTACAGACGAGTCACCTGGGCGCTGTGACCACGGAGCGTCCCGGACGACGGACGACGCAGTGCAGACCGCCGAAAGAGAAAGAAACAGGGAGAGAAAAAGAAAGAGAAAGAAAAAGAAAAGATACAGAGAGAAAGAGAAATGAAGAAAGAGAGAAAGAAGGGAGACAGAGTGAGAGTTAGTAAGTATCTATCAGACCATGGAAATCTCACAGCAGCAGCAGCAGCTATACAGTGGATTCGGTACAGGGCCGGCCCGTGAAGTCGGTACAGGGCCGGCCGGGGCGCCGCTAAGGGCGCAGTCGCTCTCTCTGGGCGCGGGTTCACACACCGGCGTGGACCGCAGGCGCTCAGCTCGGGCCGCGGTCTCACTAGCGCCGCGCGCGCCCCAACGCACTCCATTGAGCAATCTGGCCTGGCCGCGCCGGCGCGCTGACGAGGCAAGTTAGTGACTCCCTACGGAGTCCGGCCAGGGGGCGGGCGCGCCGCGCTGCGCCGATCGCGCGGCGGGCAGCCCGGGGCCGATACCCAGACGGCCGCTTATACAATCACCCAAATACATCTACACGCATTCACATACTATCTGTCTTCAGCTCTATCAGTACCGGAGGCGCATTAGGCTATTGTGCCCGGCGGCGGCGGCGCGGGCCGGGGGAGGGACGGAGGGAGGGGCGCGGGTCAGTGAGGCTGCCACACCCACTTGGGCTGCGGCGGCTGCTGGGAGGTGTCCATCAGCTCCTCGGCGGGCGCCGCGCCCATAGGCGCCGGAGACGGGAACGCCAGCGGGCCGCGCTGCGGCTTCCGCGGCGAGCGCGGCCGGAACGCCATCGGCCGGTTCATCTCCTCCAGGATGGACGGCGCCACGTAGGTGAAACCCTGCGGACGGCCGTGGTGCGCCAGTTAGTCACACAGTGTGTCCTGATCCAGGGTGCAGGCTTCCCACACAACTGGAAATCCGCTTCAATCAACAACCACAGGTGAATGTCGAGATCCACAAAACAGCACTTGACAATACGGCATTGTTGCTGTTTCGCCAGCCCAGTGGCTGACAGGACTATGTACTCTATGAAAGAATATACCATGCGATATATTTTGAGCACGTAAAGTAATTAACGATTATGTCAAAGCGGGAAAGCTGCGTCACAAATGAATGAGACAACGCAACTTTTAACACAGAGCCCTGGCCACTGGTCAGGGCTCTGTGGTCAGTGAACAGCCCGTGTCACGCCGAGTACCCACCTCGAAGACCAGGTTGGCGCTCTCGGAGAGGTGCGAGTCGTCTGGCGAGTCGACGGGCGGCTGGTTGGTGAACCGCTGGTCGAACTGCGACGTATCCTCCTCGCTTGTCTGAACGCAGCGGGGGTAATAGATCAGTCCCAGTCCCCTCACCAACAGCCAGCGGCAATAGTCCCAGTCCCTCGCCCACAGCCAGTGGCAATAGTCTCAGTCCCCTCACCAACAGTCAGTGGAACTAACCTCAGTCCCCTCACCAACAGCCAGTGGAACTAACCTCAGTCCCCTCACCAACAGCCAGTGGAACTAGTCTCAGTCCCCTCACCAACAGCCAGTGGAACTAACCTCAGTCCCCTCACCAACAGCCAGTGGCACCTAGTCTCAGTCCCCTCACCAACAGCCAGTGGCAATAGTCTCAGTCCTCTCAACAGCCAGTGGAACTAACCTCAGTCCCCTCACCAACAGCCAGTGGCACTAGTCTCAGTCCTCTAAACAGCCAGTGGAACTAACCTCAGTCCCCTCACCAACAGCCAGTGGCACTAGTCTCAGTCCCCTCGCCCAAAGCTAGCGACACCTGCCTCAGTCTCAGTTCCCTCACGAATAGCCAGTGTTGCCGGATTAGTCTCAGTTCCAGTCCCCCTCACACAGCCAGCGGCACCGGTATCAGTTTCCTGATCTGCTAACAGCTTAGTCTCAGGCTCAATCCTTTCACCCACAGCCAGCGACACCAGTCTCAGTTTCAGTTCAGTCTCCTCACCCTCACCCACAGCCAGCGCCGGTTTAATCTCAGTCTCGGTCACGTTACCAACAGCCAGAGGCACCACAGATATTTTTTATATCTTATGCATATAAGATCTCTATGAGATCTCTATAGAGATCTTATATACCTATACCTTACGCGTATAAGATCTCTATGAGAGGCACCAGGAGTGTCAGTCCCCTCGCCCACAACCGCGGTCACAAAAAGTTGAAATATCATGAACGGCTATAGCTTAACTATTTTGTATGAGAGGCGGAAAGGGGATCTTATATTCCATCCGGAACGAAGGAGCGACGACCACTAGACTGATCGTAAAGAGGCGACAAGATGCCTGTCACTCACGAGGCTGGGTTTGACGCTGCGACCACGAGTGACGTATACAACAACAAGCACTTACGAGGCTGGGTTTGAAGGGCGGCTCGAGCTGCCGGTTGGCCACGTCCGCCCAGTTTGTGTTTTTGAAGAAGGGATGTGTCTTGATGGGGTCTGCGTCCTCGGGTCCACTGCCCAGCCGCTGCTTCTCCTGACGCTGTGAGCAGACGACGGAAGGTTACAGTCGGCACATAACCATCGCAACGAATACCAGATGATTCGAAACCCGGCCATCGAGACGACTGGACTAGCATGAGACATGAATTATGTAGCTTGGGTTAGTCCCGAGAAGAAAAAATATTCAAATCCTTCTCCTCCACACCGCTACCCTCAGTCCGGGCCGGACAGGCCACTTTATCCAACGCGGGCTGCTCCCATTGGAGCGCACCGCTGCTCCAAAGGGAGCCCACCCGTAGCCACCCTGTCCTAACGGCGGGACGGGGTCTGCCACAAGTATGTGCCAGTAACAGGCGGCCCTGTCACCGATGCCCACCGGTACCGGTGGCCGACTCGGCGTCACAGGCCGAGTCGGCCACTAGGACGACAGAGAACTCTACCTTGAGCAGCTTTCTGACGAGGTCGCGCGCGTCGGCCGTCAGGTAGGGCGGCAGGTTCAGCTTGCCCTTGAGGATCTTCTCCATGGTTTTCTTGCGGTTCTCGGCGGTGAAGGGCGGCGCGCCGGTGAGCATGTCGTACATAAGCGCGCCCAGCGACCACCAGTCGACCGCCTTGGCGTGACCGGTGCGGGTTAGAATCTCCGGTGCCCTGCATCCAACGCACGACTTAGTAAGGCCTATTCCAGCATCAAACGCACAGCCCACACGACACACATGTGATACGCAGAGTGTGGATAGAATTGATGGTTAGGATGCTAGCGTCACCCTGGCATAAAGAGAGACGCGTGGGCAGCATGGTATGGCGTGGATGACGTAGATGACGTCTCTTTGGGATGACGTAGATGACGCATTTCCGGGATTCGCTCGCACTGCACTGAAACGTCAAGACATTAAACAGAATGCGCCAAGGTACGGCACATGAGTCACAGTTCTGACGTCTGCCACAGTGGATCTGTGTTCGGCTGTTAGTAATTTCTTCCTTATTCGTTTTCAGCGTGGTAGAAGAAAAATGGTACATGGTGAAACAGATGAGATTATTTTGTGCGTAGCGCGGCCGGCTGCCGGCTAGCTGAGGCTCCAGTGACATCTAGCTAAAAACCCAGCATCAATGGGAGGGCACGTCAGCACCAAAAAAAAAAAACAACAACAACAACGACAATATACAACGTACAGTCTGTCTTAAAAAGTACCGCGCAAAGTAACGCTGGATCCATCAAGCCTGACCGAGGAAGGGCCTGCTAAATTTGAGTCACCGAAGCAATTGACATCCTCGTCCATTCCCCAGGTCAATTGGTTCGGTGACTTTCAAATTATGGCAGGCCCTTCTTCGGTCAGGCTTGATGGATCCACCGTTACTTTGCGCGGTACTTTTAAGACAGAATGTACAATGAGGTCTAGTGAACGAGCCACACAGTAGGAGTCATTACGATCTCCAACAGGCTCGGGTTAACCCTATTAGTGGCAGGCTCCTGGCTACCCCTATTAGTGGCAGGGGGGGGGCTGTTTACGACCCCCTTGATATCTCGAGATCTAACGGGCCGATTTTCAAAATTCAAACGGCATTCTATTTCGCTCAACGAGATCTACATTTCTTAAAAAAAAATTAAAAAATGTCAATAGGGGGTAGAGGGGGGGGGGGGGTAAAAACGGGCAAATTGCAGATACATTTTAGACTGTTTATCACGGTCAGGTTTTTGAACCAATCTTAAGTTTAACACAACTTTTGCCGATCGATAGAGAATGAACCAGGAATTCACATGGATCCTAAAAATATGCATTTTCAAAAATCATAGGCGGATACAGATCATTGAGATTGGGGGTAGGGGAAGGTGGGGTAAGACGGCCCAGCGGGGCAAGACGGACCACCAGCCCTCCCGGCTGAACCGC